CAAAATTTATAGAGATTCGTTTTAATATAAGACTACGTTCTCTTCTATCACTATAATAATTCACTACGATGAAAAATAAAAAAAAAGATCACAAAAGAAAACTTTCACATCCTATTTCTCTAAGGGCCTGTTTGATTGGCAAATCTTTTCCATGAAAAATGAAATCCAAATTCCATTTCCCACTTTTAGCTTGTTTGATGCTTTTTTTACCCATCGAATTCATTTTCTTGCTTTTGTCTCACACGTGCTGCATTCCTTGGTTTTGTGGAAAACATGTTACTTCCCCCCCCCTTTTTTTTTGGCAATTGGAAAATTTTTTAAACACAATGATAAAAAAAATTATCACTTTTATAGACAATTTTTACGCAAAACATAGACAAACAAATGGTATTCAGTATGGTAATTTTTTTTTTTGACAATTGGAACAAATTCTAGACTCAATGGTAAAAAAATTATCACTTTAATGGACAATTTCCATAAAAAACGAAGTCAAACGGATACCAAATTTTCAATATTTTCCAGGTGAAAAATTATATCAATCAAACACAATTAATTACAATTCCCAATAAAACAAAGTTTAGGTAATTCAATTTCCTGTAATTCATTTTCTTACCACCTAAATTTCACATTTGCAATCAAACGGACCCTAATATTTAGTCAATTTGGCTCCTTAAAATTATGGGATACAGCTTGAGGTCTAGTATATACATGGAAAAATGTCTTCTAAATAGGACCGACCTATTTTTCAATTAAAATTATAATTATTTGGGGGGCAATTAATTGGTAGTTCTTATATATTTAACTCCATAGGGTACGTTTGAGTACTCTAAATTAAACAAACTCAGGCATATGATTTAGAAAGAAACGTACATGATGCAATCCATAGGTACAAAGATGTACCACAAAGTATTATTTTGTTGACAATAGTTTGGGAACCTAATTGTAATTTAGATAAATTGAAGGTTGATGCAACTTCTTAATTGTGCGAGTTTTATTTGTTATATTTGTTGAGCACGGAAAAGTTCATAAACATTTTTCACCTTGAAGATTAAATTATGTTTCTTTGTCACCGACCTGATGAGCTTCCCTCCATATGTGGCATGACAGGATTGTCAACACTGGACTTATAATGTATATTACTAAAAAATGTGTTAAAGTTGTTATCATATGTAAGTATTATTGCAACATCCTACTCGAAGTACTGTGTTTGACAAGTGTCAGACTTATCGGTCCATGGGAGGGGGAGGCTGCTCGTGGGCCTACTACCCAAGGGTGCACGAGCAATTCGTGTCAAGTGGACACTTTATTTAATTTTTTGAAATAGATAGTAGAGAGCCAAATTCACTCATTATTTATATTTTATCATATTTTCATTTAATAAAATTACAAGTTTCAACGTTCAACTAATTAAATTATTTATATTATATTCAATAATTAGCTATTGATATCTAAAAAACAAAAAATAAAAGCAAAAAATAAAAAGTTTGTTGGAGTATATAAAAAATTTCTCTTTAAATTTAAAAATACTATCTATTGTGATAGAAAATTTTCTTTAAAAAATAAAATCTCTCAAAAATGCATAAAGTGAAACATTACGATGTGTTTTGCGTGGAAATCAAGCCCGCTAACAATTAAAAGATGGATCGGACGATTGTATAAGGAACAATAATCTTTCGAGACAAAGTCCCAGCGATGGGTGTTTTATCGATAAAAATTACAATGTGGACGAAATAAAATGCCTCTAATGGGCGCAAGCATACGAATTTTAGAAGGAAATAATTGAAAGTTAACTAAAAAATGAAATTACATAGTTCTCTATTTGAGAGTTGTTTGATCTTTTTTCTCCTGCAGACTTTTCTTTCTCTTTTATACTCTTTTGACAATTTCTCTTGTAAAACCGTTTGAAAAATACTGAAAATTGCCCATCATCCTGTAACTACCCACTTTCTCCATCGTGAATGACTTGTCATGAAATTACAGTTTTCAACTGTTGCCAATCTCTTAATTTCTTGCAATCGAGATTCTTGGATCGTGGAATGTGATAAGATTATACATTAACTGCTTTAATAACCGTTGTTTCGAACAGTAATCAAAACACTATATTCGCCACGATTTTGAGCGTCACACAGGCTTAAGCGATGACAGACTCGCTGGATCTTGAGCGTCTCATAGGTTTGGGCGATAATGGATCTCCATTACATAATTCCGTCTTGGGTTTGGGTCCATCATTCGAATTTCCTAACTGTACTTCATTCTTTGGACAATTTAATTTGGTCTCATTTTTGTATGTCAACACAATGATAGGATTTGTAACATTTCTTACTTGTCTCATTAATGTTTCCTATCATTTTATAACTTCTATGTAAGCATATTTAATGTTTGGTTGATGGAGCCCTAATGGCAATTTTTAACCAATCTACCGTCATCATTAACGGAGTTAAGGGTTGGCTTGAACTTCAATAGACTGCGATGTTGGGCTCACTTCAAGGCTACCGGTTGTGCGACACTGGGCCAGGATTTGGTGGGGGGATTGGACCTATAATGGATCTACTTACTCACGCAAGGTCAACGACCTAGTATAAATTCGAAAAATTTTAGGGACTGAATTGTAGAAATCAGAATTCTGATGCCTTTGTGACCGATTTGTACATTCCAAAATGTTCGGAGACAAATGTGAATCAAGTTGAAACCTTCTGGATGCATTTTCAGATTCTGGAGTATTCAGAGACCAATTTACACATTCAGGAATGTTAAGAGACCAATGTGCAATAAGTTGAAACTCCAGCAATATATTTATCTTGCTCGATTGACCGGTTTGATTGGATATTGAAGTATTCTTACAATTTTTTTGGGTCCAAGAGAATTGAACCTTAAACCTCCAAGAAAAAAATTGGTTCCTCACCATTTGAATATAAAGTACGTTAGTGTTTTTTGTGTGCAATAACTTATATCTATCTAATGAATCATTTATAATTTTTATAAAAATATTATTTTAAAAAACTTTAGTCTTACCTTTTACTTTATTTTATAAATCTAAATAATTAGTGAAAAATAAATTAAAAATCTTAATTTCGCCCCTAAAAAAAATGTATACTTCAGTTTTTTAGTAGGTTTTTATGCAATGACCCACCGGTTGAATTATCGGGTTACTGGTTGAATCATTAATCCATTGACCCGCTGTATTGTCCGGGTATGTCCGACAACTATGGTAAAGACCTCCTAAAAATCGAGAACTACCTTGAGAATCCCTTCTCTTCTTTTTTATCTGCAGCCTCCTTTCTGCCGCTGCTGCCATGAGGCCCACGTCTAAGGTTATCTCACGATGAAGATCGGATATCAATCGGATCGACTTGACCCGATTGGTAGTCAAAGTTATTTTCAGGCACCAACTGTGCACCTTCTTGCTTTCCTTGCCTTTTCCCCACGATACAAAGTCCAACAACAATCAATACGGTTCCAATCAATGTGCCATATCGAAACATTTCGGTGAAGCATTGGCGGTTTAGGTATTCCACTTCGTCTTGCCTTTTGGTGATAATTTTTTCGATATTTATAGTTTAGAACCGCCTGAAGTTCCAACTAACAAGAGTAATCGTCATTATGTGAAGAATGGAAATATGAAGAAAATTCAAGATTCATATTTAGAAGAAATTCCTATATATGCATTTTACCTTTAGATTTTCAAATTTTTTTTGTAGGATTCATGAACCGTAGATGTGTTGGATGGAAATCAATTTGTTACAAATGAAAACAAAATATATTTAGATTGAATACAAAGTACCTAAATAAAAGAAGAAAAGATGCTAAGACAAATTTAATATTCTGAAAATCAAAACAAAGATGCGTGAGAACCTTTCAACTATCAATGCAACCGGAACCATAAAACCAGCACCAAACACAAATATGTAACCCACCAAAATAGGCAAGTTCATTCCTTCGTTGGATGGCAATTTATATACTTCATTCGTCCCATTTATATAGGCTCACTTTCCTTATTTTCTTATCCCAATTATATATCTTTGTTTCTTTGTCGAGAATGTTTTGTTTTATTCGTTTACTAATATGTCCTTATTTAATTTGCCTAATTACAACTAATTTACTACTAGTTATTGATATTTAAATAATGGTAAAAATTTTAGCAAAAATTATTTTTCAATAATATTGAATAAGATTTCTTAATTCATGTGAAAAAATAAAAACCGACCTATATAAATGGGACAGAAGGAATATTGCACCACCACCATTAGTAATGTTGCCTTCAACCCGGGAATCAAGTTGCATATTTTCCCCCATTCATCCATAATTTTCCAAGCCCAACCTAAAACCCCTTGAGAAATAAATTTTCAATCAAACTCCCAACCCAAAAATGCAAATAAATTTACCGAGAAGAAACTTTAAAACCCTTGAGAGATTGAGGATTTTTCATTCTAACTCCCAACCCCCAAATGTAAATTTTAAATCTACCAGGAAGAAACTATAGAGGATATTTAAATCAAACTCCAACTCACAAAAGCAAATAAATCTACCAAGAATAAGATAAAAAAAAATAAAAAATACTAGAGAGAAACAAACGTAAATTCAAAATTCCCGAGTTCTTGCTTGGGAATATGAGAAGAACCAAGATTGAAATGGATGAAGAGCACAAAGTTCACAATGCACCCACATGTGCATATCAATACGAATAATACTATTCATAGTGAAAATTATCGACAGTCATCTTACGTGACATACATGCAACAATATAGAGAAAGAGAGCTAGCCCAATGTCAGTTAATCCCAAATCTTGAAAAAAATCCAAATTCTTAGGAAACATGAGAAATTAAAGGGGAATAAATGTAAATATTCGTGGGAAACGTGGACTGCAAGATTTTACCTTTCTTGTGTTTGTGCATGTGTAAGATTGAGTCATGGTCTTTAGTGTCTGTTTGACAATCATTAATTTATTTTATGATTTGATACGGCGCCATTTTCAATCACACGTTCATACAATAAAATATTCTACAAGTATATCAATTTTTTCCCTATTTTTTAACCACATATTATCTTAAAAATCACTATTCAAAACTCTCTTTTCTACAATAATAGTTGTCGAACATGCTCTTAATTTGATTTTTAGAACATGTACTTCACCATATTTTGTCAAAGGATCGAGCTGCACTTACAGCTCGGGGCTTCACAGAAGCTGTACAGACACACACAAGGGGAGGGCGGGAAAAATTTGAATCATTTTTTAATCACGTCGGTCCCGCATCGGGACCCACCTCATGTGAGTGATGATAAGAGTTCTGTAAAAAAAATTTATGTACACTGAGCTTAATCCTTTGTCAAAACGGTTTGTCTTCTTCCTATTTAATTGCAATATAGAACGAGTTATTGACCTCACATACCTTTTACTTTTAACTTTTTAGAATAAATTTATTTAACACTAATTCAAGTGACGGTAGACTCTATTGATTTATTGTCAGTGTGTCAAATAAAAATTTCATAATAAATCCCAACACTTCATTGGTGTTAAGTATCACTCGTGATGCATATCATTATTCATCCCAATAGACAATAAAATACAGGTTCCATAATCACTCAAATTGATGCTAAGCACCTGCAACATAGTGTATATATACTATTTCAAATTTTATGCATTTTTTTTTTCAAAAGTGGCCACTTCATGGAAGTAGTCCACTTCAGGAATTCATTATAAGTTTGATGGTTTTTTAGAGAGAAAAAAATAATAATAATTTAGAAGAGTCATCATAGACAAACAAGAAATAAAATCAATACAAATTACTTGAAAATCACTACGCCAAAAATGAGCTTTTACAACACATAAAAGGCAACCTTCGATAGTTAAATGTTGCTAAAGGGGTCAACCGCAACATTTTTATAAGT